TTTTTGAGACAGAGTCTCACTTTGTTGCCCAGGCTAGAGTGAGTGCCATGGCATCAGCCTAGCTCACAGCAACCTCAAACTCCTGGGCTCAAGTGATCCTCCTGCCTCAGCCTCCCGAGTAGCTGGGACTACAGGCATGCACCACCATGCCCGGCTAATTTTTTCTATGTATATTAGTTGGCCAATTAATTTCTTTATTATTTATAGTAGAGACGGGGTCTCGCTCTCGCTCAGGCTGGTTTTGAACTCCTGACCTTGAGCAATCCGCCTGCCTCTGCCTCCCAGAGTGCTAGGATTACAGGCGTGAGCCACCACGCCTGGCCTGTATAACCTTAAGTATGCTGCTTACCCTCCCTGTGCCTTAGTTTCCTATCTGTAAGGTAGGAATTAATAACATACATCACACAATGTTATCAGGATTAAATAAACTAATACATAAGTACATTGCAATGTTTAGCATATAGTTAGTGCTCAGTAATATTAGCTATTTGTTATTTTTAATAGAATGTTGTATACCCCAGAATCAATGACTATAACCCACAGTGAGAAAAAAGAAGACAAAGGCATAATTTCCCCCTTTCCTAAAATTGTGGTTAGACGTCTCTTTGCAGGCCCAAAAAACTAGCACAGGTACTTCCTCATGACTCCACCACCATCACTACCATTACCAGGCAATGTAAGTCTAGGGTTGAAGAGAGCAAGAGTACAATGTTTATGGAAGAAAGTGAGGCAAGTGAAGGGAGTACAACTTGTTTCCCAGATGTTTGCTTGCTAAACTCCAGAACCTGTAAGCCCATCAGAGTGAGTGGTGCAGGATGAGACAGTTATTGAGAAAGCCTACCTCATGTCTCCTAGAGTTTGTCAGCATTCTCAAACATTGAGACTATTTCCTGTTTCTAATGTAGAAAAAGGAGGGAGGCCTGCTCTAATAGATTGTGTAAATACAGCTGAAATAATAATGATAGCGATAGCTAACATTTCCAAAGAAGAGATTAAGTATGAATTACTGATCAGCCACCAAAACACTAGATTCTGCCCTTTGAGTGCTTTTTCAGTGACAGATGGACCAGTATGAAACAGGGTACTACCCACGAAAACCACACTTATCCACGTACGGGGAAATCACCATAATTTCACAGACTACAAGCAGAAGGATTAAATACACCAGCTTAGAGAGAAAGGCTAGGGACATCTCCATATCTGTGCTCAGCAAGCAATTTTGTAAGCTGATATCTGCCACTTCTCTTCTTTTTCTCTGCTTTTCCGATAACAGGAACTGGGACTTAAGAGTACTTGAGGGAAGAGGTATTTTAAAACTTCTATCCTCACCCTCCCTGCGCCTCTAAGTCTTTGAAGCCACTAGCCTTAGTCTGCGCTGAAGGAGAGGGGAAAACTTTGTATTGAAAAGTTAACTATCATAGTATAAAAAAGTATAATAAAGTTATAAACTTGACTGTTTCAAGTTTTCATAACTGAAACTGGTATGTCTCTTAGGTCTTTTTCTCTTCAAGCTAAGTCTTCCCCATTTTTCATGTCCCATGCTTTTAATTCTCGTCATAACCCTGGCCACTTTCTTTTGAAGATGCTTTAGTTTGCATAAGTACCCAAACTAAATATATCTTTGTCAGTCTGGTCAGCTATTGTAGAATAGAACAGGACAGTCATCTTTGTCAACCTAGGAGTTAAATTGTTACTTCAGGACAAAATTACATTTGCTTTTTGGCAGTTCTGTCACATCACTATCATTTTTACTGGCCCAGAGTTATGGGGATTCACTAAATAGATTAATTAAATGCTTATTGTGCAACTTCAGAATTTGTTTCACAAAATTGGTAATTTTCAGCTTGTTTTTGCTAATCCCTAAGTAGGTGATCTTCTTCCTATTGGTTTTTCCTGCCTCATAGACCTCTTTGGGAAAATAAAAGTGTTAACTATTATAGAATGTGTGTATAAGAAGGTGTGTTTTTAGCCATACTACAGTAGATGTGGCTGACTTACAAGATAAGTTTTTGTTTGTTTTTCCCTTGGTTAATTCTACAAATATTTAGTATATATATACAATGCGCCCAGCGCTAAGGATATAAAAATAAAATGCAATTTCTGCCACAAGAATCGTTTAGCTTTATGGAGAAATTTCAGTGATGTGTATTAAATGTTACTATAGGAGTTAAGAGGATACTCCCTCTTATAGAGTTCACTGATTATCTCATCCAACTTTGAAGAAAGCTTCTCAAAGATGGTGCTAACTAATCTGATTCTGGAAAGATTCCAGTGGATTCATTAGCCAAAGCAGTGAAGGGATTTATGCAAATGTCCTGAGGCAAGAAGCAGTATGCCTGGTGCCAGTAAATTGCTATGCCTGGATTATGTATCATATGGAAGGAAAGTGTTGAGAAAGAAGGCAGCACAAGATCTGTAGAGGCTTATATGCCTTGCTTTTTGGGTGCTTTTCTCTTGAAAGCAATGAAAAGCCATTTAAAGTTTTAAAACAGGAGAATAACAAGAATAGATTTTCTCTTTAGAAAAAAGAATTTTTGAGTAGTGTGGGAAATAACCTGAAGGGGAATAAGACTGGAAATATAGGAGGCAGTTGGGGGGCTGATAGTGAGAAAATAAGGGTGAATTGAACTAAGTTATTGATAGTAAAGAGGGAAAGAAGTTGACAAATTCTAAAGATTTTAGGAGGTTGAAGCCGCAGGACTTGGTGATTAGTTGTGTAAAGGCAAGGGAAGAGCTGACATCGAAAAGAATAATAGCTAACACTAACTGTTGATCACTTAACAATGTGCAAGACACTGATCTAAGTACTTAGTCTTTGCCACAATCTTATAAGGTAGGTATTATTTTATCAATTGCATATTACAGTTGAAGAAACTCAAGCCCAGATCAAATGGTTGAGTAACTTGTCCAATTAGCATTTTACCACCAGAAGATTAGCAGCAAGGAAAGGGGAAAAAATATGGTTTCTTTTTTGGACACATTAATTGTGAAATTCTGTTGGCACATCTCAGTAAAGATAAGATGACATAAAATATATATATAAAGTGCTAAGTACCATGCCTGGTTAATAAATAAGTGTTCAAATAAATAGCAATTATGTTGATGTCTGGGTCTTAGTACAGAGAAAGCTGGACTAGAGATACAGATTTGGGTATCTATACAATAGAGATGGTAATGAAGCTGTGAATGTGGATACGATCATGAGGGATATGACTGGGGGAGTATGAAAAAAGTCAGAACTCGCTGGATAAGGTGCCTTATACCTGCAATCCCATCACTTTGGGAGACCAAGGCATGAGGATCACTTGAGGCCAGGAGTCTGAGACCAGCCTGGGTGACATAGTGAAACCCTATCTCCATAAAAAAAGAAAAAAATATTAGCTGGGTATGGTGGCATACACCTATAGTCCCTGCTGCTCAGGAAGTTGAAGCAGGAGGATCACTTGAGCCCAGGAGTTTGAGGCTGTACTGAACTATGATCCTGCCACTGTATTCCAGCCTGGTAGGCTGGAAAACAGAGCAAAACCCTGTCTCTAAAAAAAAAAAAACATACAATAATAGCAACAAAAAAACACAAAACAACAAATACACAGAAAAAGCACTGAAAGGAAATAGAACAAAATTTTAGCAATGATTCTTTGAGGATAGCGGATAGTGATTAAATATTTTAAAATTTGAATTTTCCATTTTGTAAAAATATCAGCCTTAGAGATTATAAATTTTAGTATCAGGTTTGTTTCTTACATTACTTATTTATAATGACCTCAGTTTAAATGATTCCCTTTGTAAACTGATTTAATAGTAATTATTTAAGGTAAAATCAATTCTTTTTTTAAACATGACTTTCTATTTTGTTCGAAAGTTGAATGGAAGCAAATTCTTAGTTATTCTATGTTAATCAATATAGCTAGAAAAGATTTGATTTCTTCCAAAGGGAAATTAGGGACATTCTTAAGCAAAAAACCCACAAACTTGAAATTCTTACATATCATGATCACTATTTCAAAAGGAAACTCTGCTGTAGTTGCTGCCTGCTTTGCATTCTTTCCAATACCTTCAAATAGCTATTTTTTAAGTGGTGTCTTCTCCCGGTTTTATAATTATAGCTGCAGGAGATTTTGCACAATGATTTCCTGCTGTCATTACCACAGTTCAAACTTCCTTAGCAATGTTTTCAGTAGTGTGATTTTTTACAAATATTAATGATGCCTAATATAAGAATTCAATTAATATTTGTTGAATAAATCAATAATGGCTACTCCCTTTTTAGAAAATGCAATAAATGTACCTATGTTTCTTGTCTTTATTGTGTTCAGACTATTAAAGGAAAGAAAGCTGATATAAAAATGTAGGCATGTAGTTTATCAACAATATTGAAAGAACAAAGATAGTCTGAAGCTATTTTTCTTATATAATGAAATCTCAATAATATAAAATTTTTACCTAAGAAACCTCCTGATTCATCATTTAACCATTAAAATTCAGAAAGAAGGGGGATAAGGGAGTAATAAAAGCAAAAGGACTATTTACTGAGAAAACATTTACTACAAATAGAGGAACTCCATCAAATTAAAATCTTTAATATTTAATTACTGTTGAATTTGAAACCCAAAACCAGATTGTGGGAGTAATACTATTTTTGCAAATTTTATAAGCATTAATTATCAGGCTACATACATTAAGTGCTTAATTATTGTGACATGAAAGAAATGAGGTGTGAGCTTACAGACTGCTTTGTGGATAATAATGGCTACATTTGAGGTACTGGGAGAAAATGCCCTATATCTTAGTAAAGAAAAAAAAAGCCTCTGATTTCTTTGATATTATAATCACATGTAATCCTCTTAATTTTGTGGAGTCTCTTAGCCTATCTGTGCCTTAGGAAGATGAAATTGTTGTCCCACCTCACATACTTGTTTTAAGGAAAATAATTGTAAAAACATGTAAATGTGCTTACTATATATGAGAGTGTTCTGACTGTAATTTTTTCTTTTTTACAGAAGAGGATAAATACAATATTTATTCACCTTTGCTCTTCAAGTACTTCCTGGCAGAGGGAATCATTAGTGGGCATACACTGTTGGTTGCATCTGCAAAAGAAGACCCTGCTGACATTTTACAGGTATAGAATATACTAATTCAATATTGCATTTCAAACATTTCATGAAATAATATTGCTTATACATGTAAACAAGATATATATTTGTATGTATACAAACTATATTTAAATGGATTAATAGGTCCTTTTTTTAATCTCAAAAAATATCAAATTTATTTGAACTTCGAGTTTCATTTTAAATTGGTGTTCTTAGAAAATTTTTTAAAATTTTAAATTTTTTAAAATTTATATCAGAGGTGGAAAAATATTAATAAGCTATTAAACATGAACACTAAATAAAATTATTGGACCTGGTATTCATGAAACTCATGTCTAATAGCAAAAAGTTCTAGTTTATACTACTTACTGAAGAAAGGTGAGAAATGTCCTTTAATTCTTTACTTCTAATTATAACACTCTTATTTTGACATTATTAATCTATCTTGAATCCCAACTACTACAATGCTTAAGCATTACAAAATGTAAGTCTTTCTACACTGTTCACAATGTATGATGTTATTGTTACCTTTAAATTCCTTAAAAGAAATTTCAAATTTTAATTTTTACCTTGAAACTAGTTTAAAGTATAGGAAATCCCTACCATCTGAGTTAAAACAAATAATGGAGTAAAAAACAAAAGTGTCATCTATATAATCAGCAAATTATCTGATAATACATTTTTAATATATTATTTTTACATTTCTGCTTAGCAGAAGCAAGAATAAACTGGTTCCAAGGCACTGTAGTATTTGGCAATTTTACTGCAAGCTTTAAATCATAGTTTTATTTTAAATATTTATAAAGAAATTAAAATATTCATACATATAAAAATTATTATATCTCCTAGGTAATTTCTACATAGTCGTAAGAGAACTCTGAAAAAAATAGGTGAAGGAAAAACAACTGCAGAATAATTGATAATTATATTACCAGTATGCCAAAGCTATAAATCAGAAGAAAAATTCAGAAATTAGAAGTACTCATTGATTAGTATTTTTTGCTTTGAAAATGCCACAAATGATTCTCTTCCATGATAAAATATTTCATTAATGTTTTTATTTTTTTAAGCCAAAGTACACTTTTTACCTCAGAGAGGACAAAATTGACTTTTAGAATTTTTATTTTCTTTGTCCAAAACTGGATCCCAATTTAAGCAATTATGTGAGTAGAGTTCATAATTTAAAGTCATTTTTCCATAGGATATTTTCATTTCAGTACATAGTCTGCAAAATGGCATATGAGTAAGTCATTTATAAGGAATTTGTAGCAATAACATATACTAATTCATAATAACTGTCAAAAGACACCAACAGGCCGGGCGCAGTGGCTCACGCCTGTAATCCTAGCACTCTGGGAGGACGAGGCGGGCGGATTGCTCGAGGTCAGGAGTTCGAAACCAGCCTGAGCAAGAGTGAGACCCCTTCTCTACTATAAATGGAAAGAAATTAATTGGCCAACTAAAAATATATACAAAAATTAGCCGGACATGGTGGTGCATGCCTGTAGTCCCAGCCACTTGGGAGGCTGAGGCAGGAGGATCGCTTGAGCCCAGGAGTTGGAGGTTGCTGTGAGCTAGGCTGATGCCACGGCATTCACTCTAGCCTGGGCAACAAAGTGAGACTCTGTCTCAAAAAAAACAACAACAAAAAAGACACCAACAAATGTCTATACCCAAGTATAGAAGTTACTATAATAGTGAGGTCAAAACAAACATGATTCTTTCAGTGGGGTCAGACTTTGCTTATTAAATAAAACTTAAAAATCCAAAGGACAAACCTATGTATAATTGATTTTCCTCTGGTTGCAGGGCCTATTTTTTTCAATGTTTTTTGAGTTGTTTAGTTTTTACGGTATTTGCTTGATGTTTTTATTTTTTCTTTTCCTCTTTTCTCTGGCTTTAATCATCTTGACCAATTTCTGGACAGTATTGCACTTGCTAGGAGCAGTGGAGTAAAGGCCAAAATCATTGTTGTAAAGAAACTATACAGGCATATTCCACAATATACTGAGCCTAAGATTTTAAATCAAATGCCTTTCTAATCCACCATGGGAAAATTTTCCAGGCATATATATGCTTTTTAAAGTACAGTGTTTTATTTTTCTTTCTTGCCTCCTCCAATCAAACTAGCTGGTGTTAAAGTCTAGTATATATGTGTTGGCACAGTTTGCTTTAGAGAACATTTTTTATTTCAAAACTAATGCCTGACATCTTTCTTAGATATCTTGAATTTATACAAGTTATTATAGTATTAAAAATCTCAGTGTACTTTACATGTCCTTCTTTAGAGTATGTGAAAGTGTTTCAAGTTATAAATGAAATATTACCTTTTTCATCAAGTTTTTGTAAACTTTCCAGTCATATATGGAAGTAATTACATTCTGCAAACATATATTCATAGAGCAATTTTATGGTGTACGAGAAAAAATACAAAACTAGAATAAGAAAAAATCGATTTTTAAAAAGTCATATCATGTTTGACCAAGTTGCAAAAGTCTGACCAGATTTCTCCTCATGCCTGAAACAACTAAAAGAAACAGCACAAAATATATGAAACAACACTTTTCAAAACACTGGGCAACAGACAATAAAGAACAGTGATTGCTAAGATAAGCGGAACAAAGAAGGCAAGCCCTGTGATTTCCCTAGCTTACTGTGTGCAGAGTTTCCAAGCCACAGTGCAAGGAAGAATTCAAGATAAGATAACCTTAGGAGATAGAGCAGGGAGGTCAAGGAAATTAGTATTTACAAGATGGAATACCTGAATGGGAAGAGCTGCACATAGAGTGAGTTTTGGAGATCTGAACAGAGTCTCCCTCTAGTCTTGAGATGAGTATTCATTTGTACATGCATATAAGGAAACTACTTGAGGCTAGGGAAATAACTGTCTGAAAATTTACAAGTCACAATCCCCAGGACAAAGAATAATTCCTGTTTTCACATGCCACAGTGAAAAACCTCATAATTCATGGAACATCAGATAGAGTATTTAGAAGTGTTTTGTATTGGTAAAGGACAAAATTATTCCCATATTATAAATGCTGCTTTGCTCCTACTAAATGAAGCTTAAAATCAAGGCCTGAAATAATCAACTGTTTTCAAGTAACTGTCCCAGAGCAAAGCTGAAAAATGTACCAACACAAAAATATCCAACACCAAACAGAATCAAATATTCAATGTCTGGTATCCAATTAAAACTTAGTAGGCATTAAAAAGCAAGAAAATATAATTTATGATAAGGAAAAAAATCAAAACAAAAAAGAAATGACACAGATGATAGGATTAGTAGATAACATAAATTTTTATTATAGCTATATTCTAAATATTCAGTGAACTAGAGGAAAGATTGAACATGTTAAATGAAGACATAGAGAATTAAGTATAAACATAAATTGAACTTCTAGAGATGAAAACTACAGTGTCTGCAATTAAAGTCAATTAGACACTGAAAAGAAAAGATTAGTGAACTTAAAGACACAGCATTTTAAATTACCCAAAATGAAACATGGAAAATAGATTGGGGGGAGATAATTGCATCAGTGAGCTGTAGAATAACTTAAAGTGCCATAATATGTGATTGTACTCCTTGAAAGGAGAAGGGGTGTTACAAAAAAATATTTGAAGGAATAAGGGATGAAAATTTTCTAAAAATAATGAATAGTATGTACTTAATACTAGAGTGCATGGCAGACTTCAGGTTTAAAAGTCCTGAAGAAAACAACATCATGGCTTATCATAATCAAATTGCTTGAAACAAATGATAAAGGGAAAACTTTGAAAATGGCCAAAGATAAAAAGCACGTTATAGTGACAGAACCAAAGATAAGAATGACAGTAGACTTTTAGTTTTATGTAATACCAGCCAGAAAACAATGGAAGAATCTTTAAAATACTAAAAGAACACACACACGTACCCATCAATTCAGAATTCTATACCCAGCATAAATATTTTTCATGAACAAAGGTGATTTCACAGTAAAAAAGGTTGTTTTACATGAAAGCAAAATAAAGACTTTTTGAGATGCTAAAATCTGAAAGAATTCACCACCATTAGACTTGCACTGTAAGAAATATTACAGTTTTTCGCATAAAAGTGAAATTATACCAGATGGATATTTGGATCTAAGCAAAGGGATCACAAACCCTGAAGTGGTAATTACATGAGTAAATATAGAAGACTTTTTTGTTCTCATTTTGCAAAGATAAGGGGGTTAATGGTGGGAAGGAGATAGTAAGGGAGAAAAAGCAAAATTTGGGGGATGATGGATATATTAATTATTTTGATTGTATTAATAATGATTTCAAAAGTATATGCCTATGTAAAATATTACCAAATTATACACTTTAATTTGGGGTAGTTTGTTGTGTATCAGTTATACCTCAATAGAGCTATTTCTTAAAAAAAGAATAGTATTTCAGAGTTAGTAAATACATAGGATTCAAGCTTCGGTTTTGTCTTTTAATAACATTAGCCACCTTTATGTATATTGCCTCCTTTTTTATGAAAATAAGGATAACACTTGACCTTGTGAAAGTCTTCCAAACCATAATGGCCCCAATTTTATAAATAAGGGATATGGGAATAGATTGACACACAAACTTTTAATCTAGTAAAAAAAAAAAAATCACACCAGATTCCTTTCCCTTTACTTTGGCTTTCTCTCAACTCTGATATAGATAAAATTTGGGGTATTTTATTTAGTGGAGTAAATACTACTATGGTCATTTCTTAGGCCTCATCTGAGTTGGCCTATCTACAGGTACTTGGTATTATTGGTCACTTTTTCTTCCCTGATACACTCTTTCCTTAGTTTCTAAGATACCACACTTTCTTGGTCCTCCTACCTCACTAGCCACTTTTTCTCATTCTTTTTTGCTAATCCCTACTTCTTAACCTTTTAGTATGGGGGTATCCCAGGACTCAGTCCCTAGAACTCTTTTCTTTTCTATCTGTATTCTTTTGCTGATCGCATTTTGTCCAAGGCTGTCAATACTATTCCTTTTTCAGCCTTTTCCATCTCCATTA